TTAGAATAAATATCATGTGTGATTCATGTGGGAATAAAGCTTATGAATAAGGTATGGTAATGTACTTCAACAATTTTTTCGTAGAATTAAAGCAGGGAGGGTGTTTACTTGCCGATCAGCCCTTCCTCTGTCGTTCGTAACAAATAAGATGCAAAAGTTCAACACTACCCCGCACACTTTGAAACTTAATTTTTGTTTCTATCTAAAGTTCTTATTCTCTTGTTTTTGAAAAGTGCTGCTATCATAATGGATTAAACGCCTTTTTTCAATGTTATGAACAAAATGTAAATATTTTGGGAAGGTTTCTTCAGAAAGTGTTGAATAATTATTTCTGTGATAGGACAGTAGAATTCTAGCAGCACTTTTCATGGTACAGAGATGTTTTAACATAATTATTATTACAAATTGAAATTAATTATCCCCGGGGTAGTGTTGAACTTTTCACTGTTTCATTAAAGCATATTTTCTAATTATAGACGTCACGTGGTGACGTCGTGGTGAAGTGCTTCATGTAGTTTATTTTAAGTCCCGTTCAAGTCTGTAGAATGCATATTTTTAACAAAAGTTTTATGCTTGACTTTTCCGATTTATCAGTGTTACATAATTATAAAAAAAAGTCTTAATCCTGGTCCATGTGCTGCCTTAACATAACCGCGAATGCACTGCAGTACTGAATTCTTCAAATAACTGACAAGAAAACTAAGTCCCATTAGGAGAGTTTTGTCAAAATAGTATTCATGGTCTATAGTTAAACCCAACAATTCCCAACCTGAACAATGTCTTAGAACAATTTCATATGCATTCTGAAAATTCAATTTAAACAACCTGCAATTTTCCCATATGTGCGCATAAAACCTACTTCATCTTCTACTTCCTGATATTGAACAGATTTGAATTTATTCTGAATACCATCATTGACCAAACTACCCTCAGGATAAGAGAGGTGATGTGTAACTCTATAATCAACTATAGTCTCCCCTGATTTTTTCAAAACTAGACCTAATGGTGAACTCTGAAAATTCTGAAATGGTATTTACTTAAATGGACCTGCTACCCTATGGTTGTCTATCTCAATCTGAATCTTTTCTTTCAAAATTTCAAAATTATCCTTAGCTGATTTTGAATAATCACTCTCTCTAAAAATTCTATGAACTTCAAAAGGAATTTTAATCCCAACTTTAAAACCTTCCACTATATAGTTCTACTTGTTTCTATCACAACCCTTCTACCAAAAGACTAGCATGTCTGCTTTCTGCTTTAATTGGGGTAACAACACTATTTTTCATTAGCAGATTTGAAAATACCTGTAGTTTTTCCTACCCTACGTGTTCGTGAAGGGTCAATTTAATTTGAAGGTGATTGAGCTTTCCCAGAGTTGCACTGCTTTTGTGTGTGTGTGTTCCTCCACGCTTTTGACAGGCATGTATGTAAAAGCAGCGATCTTTATTACAAAAAAACCTATTGTTGAGCTATAGCAGGGATATTTTGGTGTTGTGGAGCCTCGAAAGGACTGGGATGTTTGAGGTGAGGTTGAAGTAAACCTTTTATTTCCAACAAAACACCGAATTTAGACCCACTTTGGATTTACCCAAACTGATAGCCAAGGACTCACTATGGATTTCTGAATTTAACTTGTCCCAGGGGAAAGAACACGGGTTAGTTGCTCGCCACTCCCTAAAGTTCTTATTATAATATATTGCTGCCTCATCCCCTACCTGCTTCCCTAGTTCTTGTACCATATCCCCATATTTCATTAATGCTTGGGCTTCCTTTGAGGACTTTTCAGTATAAATACCTTAAAAAACCAAGAAAGCTTGGACCCATTGGGTTATTGCTCTAATATCATTAGTTTGCTTTTTGGGCTTAATTTCATATTCCCCTTTCAAGTTTTCACGAATTTCAAATATTATATAATTATTCTTATTTTTCATCCCTAACTAATTTCCAAAATCAACTAATTCATTTCCCCAGAGTTTGCTTTTTATCTTAGAATCTACACTGAGACCCAATGGCCTAGTGATACTGGGATTCTTAACTTCTGCGTTAGGTGATAACTCTTTAGATGCTGTTTGTTCATTTGTACCTGAGTTACTTGGTCAATTGCCATCTCCTGATTGGCTTGAATGATTGTTGCTTGTTGGAGTGTCACTGACGATTTCCTCTTGTTGTGAATTAACAAGCTTTGGAACAACCCCCATAGCTGTAGAGCTGTCATCACACCTTTCGTTACTTTTGGGACTAAGGCAGCTACAAACTCATCATGTTCATTCCTTGTACTACTTGCATCTCTTTTTCGTTTCCTTGCTGGCATCTAACCAGTACTCATCTCTGTAAATGGATGTTAGCGTGTATGCCTAATTTATACAAATCATGTTAAGAATTCAACCTATCTATGACTGATAAAATTATCAGCTTTTGATTAATGTGGCAATTTTTTTTGTTTATTTACTCATACAAATGTTATCCTCCTTTAACAAGCAATAGGGTAAAATTACCAACTGAACCTCTATGGTAATTCTTAATACATATTGTTTACATCTTAAATTAATCTGTATGATTACAGGGGACTAGTGACATATATCTCTCGAGAAACCATTGCATCATCACTAATTGCCTTAGTGAAGCATAGCGATAGCATTTGTAACTTGATAAAATTATCAAGATTGAGCACTAATCATCAAGTCTTAGACGTGATAAAATTATCACTGATTGCCCAAGTGAAAAATTGCAATGGAATTATCACATTTATAACCTGATAAAATTATAAAGATTCAGCACTGATTCAGCACAGACATGATAAAATTATCACTAATTGTGAAGCATAGCTATAAATTTATTGCATTTGTAACTTGATAAAATTATCATGATTCAGTAATACATAAAAATACCACTAATTGTTCAGTAATGTGGCAAAAGTACCACTAATACTTGAAAATGTGGCAAAATATCACACAGACTATTCTGCAACTTATGCAATAGAAACGTTTCCAGACTTACTGTTCTAAGTAGAAATAAATGCCTGATCAAAAGGGTTTCTGTATATCCAATATTTGGACTGGCTCTCTACAATGCATCTAATATATAAATTAAACAGATAACTGCTAAAGCTATAAAGTATGAAATCGTGTCATATATGAATAACAAGCTTATTGTTTTTCTTTTTAAAATGATTCATACCAGTTACTGGGATATTAAGGCTAAAGTTCATATGCATGAAATGCTTGTTTTAAAAATTTTTGATGCAAATTAACTAAAATTGTTATATGGTTAAATGAAATACAAAATATTTATCAAGCTATCAATTGTGCCATGTATCACAGCACCAATGATTGTCCTGTAATATTTCACATTGCCAATATGGTTCATATGTACACCATCACGAAAGTTATTCACCACAGAGTTCTTCAAGCCCTTCAACTTCCAGTACAAAACCTTCCTTCTGTTTTTAACTTCTTTTAACAGTTGATTTGCCAAGACTATTAACTTGTTATATAAAACAACTCGGCAGTGTCTAGTGGAATAGCTTGGTTACAACTGACACACACATATATCTTATTTAAATGATATCGGTTTAAAAACAAGTCACATGTCGCGATTATTTTTGAAACAATCTCCCTAACCAAGTCCTCGTCAGCCTGTGGCTGGTCGATATCGTTTCCCGCAATATGTAAAATTATCTTCTGTGGTAGGTTTCTTTGAATATCCTCTTCTAGCACTTTAATGTCCATACTTCGACTTATTATGCCCACACTTATCCCAATGACCGAGATCTCTACATTTTGAACATTAAATATATTGTTTGAATGTTGTCTCTGATTCCTCGCATAATGATATAAGCGTCGAACGTGTGAATCATCAAATATTAATACAGACATCTTGATGAAGGAAGAACACAGTATAAAACAACGATCGTTGCGACAACACAGGTTATGAATGAAGAAAAACTGGCACGTAGGCCGACCACGTGTGCAAAGACCGAATTTCAAATTTCGTCTTTGAACACTTACAAATGCGCTGAATCCCTTGGAAATCCAAAAGATCACCCCACGAGAAATCCACCAAGTGTATTAACTGTGCACTGGACACGCCGTAAGCCAACTTGCTTGTTCAGAATTAAAATTGTATTTCCATAAAAATACAAATATAGCACCGACAATGTTTGTATTCAAACTGATACTGAGACTGTTGCAAAATCAAGAACACACAAAATTATTAGAGTTATCTCGCTTGTCCTACTTTCATTACTCAAGAAATGGGCATAGAATTATTTACGAACATAAATAGCATATATATAATAATCATGTTTCTGTATTATTATTTTTGTACTGTTTTTGTATTGTTGTTATTTATAAAAATCCTGAATAAAATCTAATAACAAAATAAGACTTTATATCGTCAATATCCCTTTCTTATGCAGCATATCAGCATTATTCCTTCATTACCTGCATACAGAGTAAATATATCTCATTTGATTCGTTACACAAAAGCATGCTTTAAGTATGAACAATTTATAAAACAAGGTAAATCATTGACAAACAAGAATATCAGCAATCTCGTATAAAGTCATCATTTCGTAAGTTCTTTGATCGATTCAATGACCTCGTCAGCAGGTACAGTTTATCAGGGAGTCAAATGCTGACTGACGTTTATCAAACTTAATATAAGTCAATTATTTATGCACTGAATTGACGATGGCTTTTTCCGTTATTTCCCGTTCATGACAAAGAGACCACGGCGGGTGTGACCCGCCAGCATGGAATGCTCACTCCTCCATGGCACCTGATCCCACCACTGATGTTTTGGGGGTTCGTGTTTGCTCTGATCCTGTTTTATATTATTTTTTGGACTTTGATATTGAATTCTGTTTGTTATCTCCATACCCTACATTAATAAAGTTTTTTTTCTTTAATGTGTATTGCTCAGGTGTCATTTTCTTCTGCAGTTGATTATCTTGTTTTTTTTAATATAAAATGAAATGATTTTTTTTTTATTTCAGTAATATGGGAGGTGGCCCATCTACAGCTGATTTAGCAAGTATGTACATATTTCAATAAAAAAAAGTTCGCTATAGTGAATACTTTGACTCTTTGATTTTTGAAGTTTGATTTAGTTTGGTAAACACTTTATCACTTTCATTTACTACATTGAACACTTTGACATTTTGATTCATAGTGATAACTATAAAAACTTTGATTTACCATGGTGAACATTATGTAAACTTTGATATAATATAGAAAAACTGTATTGATTTACTTTAATGATAACTTATTGTACACAATAGTGATAACTTTGAAAACTTTGAAAATTGGTTTAGTATTGACAATTTCATTTACTATGGTAAGCAATGCAGTTAACTATAGTATTTTTGTACGGGCGTAGATATTTGTTACTAGATTCAATTTAAAAATTTCACCAAAAACAGATTAAAATCAAATCCCGAAGAATAATGAAACGTACCCCTTAAAATAAAAAAAGGACAGATGTATAGGAGGAAAAAAATATTACTTTTTCGTGCAAACAATATCTTTCTTATTTGTTTGATTATGTGTCATGGGGATCAGCATTTACATCATAAAACAAATATAAATGTATTAAAAAAGGTTTAGATAATGTTTCGTGGATTTTGGATTGTTTGGAAATGGTTTAAAGGAAATGGCGTGTTTCTTAAAATCCCTTTACATGCCATCTTTATCGTATGTACTTGTACGTATGAATCCAACAATAAGTATACCTATCTCGAATTTATTCTACATAAAGAATATTAAATTATGCTTACCCAAAAATGCCAAAAAATCATTTAATAGTTGGCATTTAAAAAAATCAAAATGATAAAATAGGTTTGAGAAGTTAAAAACATTCAGGAAGGGGTGGAGTGTCATATGTTACATGTGACTCGAATCAGATACACTGTAGGCTGTTAAATGGTTTATCACTTATTAAAATAGAGGCAACCCACCTCAATAAACTTTTGATTTGGGGAATTTATTCAATAAGGAAATGCACGAATTTTATGTTCTACGAATAATGATAAAACCACGGTATATCCATGTATATGTGTAATTTAAAGAGACCATTAGCAACTGCGCAACTAGAATAAGGCTGCCTGTAAAATATCAAACTATTCAAACTGTAGATACTTCTCTGAACTACCTAGTTATGACTTCATAATATAATTTGACGTCAAGTCACTGCATGCTTGAGCTGACGTGACGGGAAACTGTCATAATTAATAAACGGCATGTAGATTCATTATGGGGACTTGTGTTTAATTTAAGAGTAAGGGTTGTTTTTTAAGCTCGTGTGTGCTGTTATTATTTTTAACGTTTGATATATCTCTATTCCTTTTGCTTATCCGATATGCACATATTCAAGCAATAGCAATAAATTATGTTTGAAAGGCTCCCCTTACACATCCGGCCGTAGGCAGAGTTAGAATTTATGAATCGTTTTTATATTGGACTAGTACAAGTGAAAGAAAGGGATAAATTGAAGATACTCTGCGTTGATCTAAAAGTGAAATATGTCTTCTAACTGAATTTTGCTGGGGGTCGTATGTAGTTTATCTGTTGTTGTATAAATCGCAATCAAGAGTGGAAAATACCCTTCTTTCGTTGGTAATTTTAATTTATCGTAAAAAAATTTCTTAAGGATTAACAATGAAACTTGCCCCCACCACGTTTTATTTACCAGGGATTTACCAGGGATCACGATGAATTGATCTTTGCACAATAATTTTGTTTTGCACTTGTGCCGAAGCGATTTTTGTGCAACATTTAAGAATATAAAAAATGTCCGTCACGTGATCAACACAGTCGTCTGACATCACAGAGATGCTTTACTATAATACCTGATTTAACTGTTATCTCAAGTTGACTGCAATTTCAAACAAGGACTACATAATGAAATTAAAATCAAGCTCAAGATAAAATGTATATTTTTAAGACATTTTAAGTCTTCGGACAGCCTTATCATAATTGCGTGTTAGGTGCTAAAAAGTGATGGTTCTACTTTTGCCTAGCGCAAATCTTAACCAACAGACTGCATTAAATGATTTTGTTTTACGTATTCGTTTACTACAGGATTACAGACCAATGTTGTCAATTTGATGAGAGAAAATGAAGGTAAGAATTTCTGATAATTGTAGCAATATCTCAAAATGGTATGTTATGTATGTACGTTTTATGTTGTTGCACATATATCTTACAACAATGACAGTTTATCGATATCTTTGCTAGAAAACAATTCTTTGTTTTAAAACCAACGAAGAAATATAAGCTTTAAAAAATAAGAAAATTATAAACATTAGAAAGATGATAGGCCTTTTTTTAGAGCAAGCTTTTTTACAAATCCAGCCATGTATTTAATTTAAGTTAATTTAATGGTGACAAATTAAGGATTATAATTTTATTTTTACCAAGAGTAATACGATGGCATATGTTTGACACCTACGTGCAAAAAAAATTATATCAACATGCCAGAAAATAATGTCAACATGCAAAAAATTATGTCTGCAAGAAAGGATATGATATTGGCATGCAAGAATAAATCTTTTAAGAGAATTTGATTAAATATTATAAATCAAGCACTGACGCCTGTATCTTACATCGTAGATAACAAGACACAATTATGACAAGATGCGGTTAACTAAATATGTTAAGTGCAAGATTGTTATGTAGAAATGCAACATATTTATGTTAACGTGCAAGATACTTGTGTTTTTATGTGAAATAATTAGTAATAAGGCATGCACTATATTTATGCTCCCATGCAAAATACTTACAGCTTATATTGACATGCTACTTACGAGGGGCGTTCAATAAATAATGTCCTTGGGGCTCAGAAAAAACAAAACATGCCTTTCTATGACTTAGTCTTGATGGTTTAAGTAAAATATTCTCTTTCAGTTAAAACGCATATCCGTAATATTTTCATTCAATTTCTAACTGCTTTTCGAACACATTTTTGAGTTTGACCCTTCGAATACTGAAATATGGCAGATTCTATGATTTCTGTACTTGTTTTTTTTCTTTTTGATAGATGTTTTTCTAAGTGTAGGAAATGAAACTAGTCAAAGGTTAAAAGATCTGACAATGTTGATTTGACAAAACATTTACTTTCTGTTTATCCCCAAACTCCTCTAATCTTCATGGCCTGTGGGTTTGGTCGCCATCATGAAGACATTTAATGTAGTTTATTCCTCATTCTTTTTTCCTTCCTCTCATAAATCTTTCAATTTTTGGGGGCCAAAATATTGTTTTCTAGACTCCTCCAGATATTTGAACTTCCTCCCCGAATATAAATTTGAAGAACAAGACCGCTAATATTTCAGAAAAAAAAAGCATATAAAACTGTTTTATTCTCCTTGAAGTTTTTGCTCTTCTTATGCCTTTGTAGTTTTATCAAGTGCATCTTATCGTTAATTTGTTTTAAGGGATAAATTAAAGCAAAATGTATTTTCAAGTTTCATTATCTGTCAGAATTTCACACAAACGTGAATAAGTACAATTTTTGATTTTTTAAAAGAATTGCTCGGATATTCCTACACGCTGTCGTTTTCACTCATTTTTCAAAATATAGGGTGACCTTTAAGTATTGAATTTTTTTAACCGTAAAATGTTTATTTAAAACAGTATGAATTATCCCCAAAATTATTTATCTCAATTTTCCTATGTGTTTTAAAGTCAAAAAAACATAATCAGTGATAATTTGTTGAAATTTGGCAAATTTACTTCAGTTGTGGAAGTCGTTGTTGCCAAGGACAGTATCCATTTTTTATGCCCATTATTTAATTTTTGTGTTTTGAAATCTAAACGTTCACCTGTCTATAAAACAGACATTGGTTGCTGTAACTTTCACATATATCAGTTAATATATATTTTTGGAATATTAACAAGTTTTACAGACACTTTAATGAAGCGTTCAATTTTGTTTTAGTTTACTGATTCTTGGCCATTCATTTTAATGCATTTTCTCAAAAAGCCCTTGTTTTCAAGCTTCTCACAATGAAACAATGCGCTGAAAAGTGGTCACATAGTTACATTGTTATGAAATCATTAAGGATTCAATGATTAGAGAGAGTCAAGCTTTATGTCATATTACTATGTTGCATGCCATCGAGACAGTATTTATTGAACGTCTCTCGTAGTTAAATGAATATGTGACCTATTTATGTGATCATGAAAGTTATATTTTTACATAAAACGATATTAAGTCAATATGCAAGATAATGACTTGCAGATCAACATAATTATACATCTTGCATGTCGACATCATTCAGTTGTATGTCTATATAATTACCTTGCATGTTGTCATAAATAAGTAGCGTATCTACATAAGTACATGTAGTTTGCATTTGGACATAAATAAGTCACATGTCTACATAATTATGTTGCATCTTGGATCGATGATGTCAAAAAAGGGTGATAGTAAGTATTTACACACATTTAAATTATATTTTCTTATAAGATTGGTAACTTGTATTTCAACATAATTACATTGTAACATGCATGTTATGTTGCATGTTAAAATAATTTATATTGTATTCAAGGGCAAATATATGTCATACTATAATCGTCTTTTATTGACGCCACATATTTCCTTGAAAATTCGTGTACCTTGCCAATATAGTACATGTCACAAAGCCAACCAATTTGTTACATGCATTCTTTCAGTTGTTTTTTAATTTGTTTTTTGTGAATCCTGTATCAATTGTCTTGCAATTTGGAACATTTGTCTTCTATGGTATCACTGTATCATTATAAAATGTTCTCTTGAATCGCATATTTTTGTGATGTAAAATCTTCGAGGTTTGGGGAAAACATTCCGTTTTGGGATATTTGATACCAATGTATTAAAACATTTGATTGCAATGTATCAAAATTTTTACTTTTCATTGCTCATGTGAATCTCTTGGTTTCTAATTGCCTCAAAACAACGAAATGTAAGGTGTTCTCCGATATTTCTTCCCATGAGCTATTGTAGCAGCCGATGTAATCTTCAAAAGAAATAAAATTCTTTTCAAAGAGAACAATTCTGTCGAAAACTGCACCATTCATTTATCTCAAAATTTGAACTGAAGCAAAAAATACTAATTACGTCTTAAAACAAATATATTTGATTTTTCTTTATAAAAACAATGAGTATTTAATATGTAATAATTTATGCAGATAGTAAGCTCCACAACAATTTTTATTGTTCTATGAATCAGAAACATTGTCTGATAAAATGTTGATAGATGTTATTTTCTGTTATTGTCCAAAGTTAAGGCTGCATGCTTTTTATTTTATAACATTTTATAGGAAGAAAATAGTCAATTGAAATACATCACACTGTTTATTTCATGTCAGGAGGATTCTTTTCAATAAAATAACCATTAAACACCATTCATAGATTGAAGATAAAAACGGTTATCAAAACAGACATTATACGACGCACCCTTCTTTCTTCTTCATTACAATTATATTTAATAAAGTAATATTTTATTTTACTAAGAAATATGTCCATGCTTGTTAACAAATATACTGAAAGGAAAAACACGGGAATTACATGTATTTTTTATTTTTTCAGTAATCGTATCTTACTTTTCAAATCATCCTTCAAGATAATGTAGGCAAACTCAACTTTCATTTTGGCTAATCATTCAGGAATTCATCTCACTATAACCCCATAAAGTGACCCATTTTCTTCAAAGTCTCAAACCCGCAACTGCTTTGTCATATCCTTGATTTTCCGTTGCATAGAATTCATCAGGAAGTTTTTCTTTCAAACCCTTGCAATATTTGGCATCAGTTACCAAGCTAAAAAAATTATAAAACGACGCGCATGAGCCAGTGAGAGGAAAACAAATTTAAATTGACCGGCTCAAAAAATCAAATTGTGCAATTGATTTCTTTTGGTTTTCGGGTAAATGTAATGATAATGATAGTCTACTGAATTTTTAGTGGTTTGTGGTAACCAGGTGGCAGAACGAATAACCCGATCATTAACTGACTCTGTATCGCACTAACGCCATCATCAGGGTTGATTTGAAATCATCCCTGGCACTCTCTAACAATGGGTAAGACTTTCTATAGGCGAAACCAGACCCTATTGAACTTTTGTAAATCTACCAAGATTGCAAGAAATCCACATTGTCTATAAATACTGAAAATCAACGTGTATACCTGAGGTGAATCAAATGGTACATGAAGATTTGTTGACAGACTCGTCATCCTTACTTTGCACGTGTTTTTGGTGTTGTTAGCGTATTTCTTACATGATGTCATACATTTTACGGTTGAGTAATTAAGAACATTCATTTTGGTGCATATTAACGAAAGATATCATCTAAATGATTACAAATATTTTACTACCCTGCGTTCCTTTCAGTATATATAAATTATATATCAAAATAAAATCCCAAAACTTATTTGAAATAGCAAAACATAATTTCAATTATACATGTGTATTAATATTTTGGCAAATGAAATAATAAATAGTCACCTTATACTTGTTCAATTTGAAGTACAACAAACCGTTCATTATATAATCGTAGATTTTCTTTAGAGGTGTTTAAACAACTATGCAACTAAATTTACATATTAAATTGTACTATCACTTTTTATTTTTTTTATTACTATATATTTGCATATCCATTGCTCTCTTCCGCTGAGAACTTGTAGTCATCAACTGCGTTCATAGCACTATAGAATCAACTGCTTCTACTATAATCTACTGTAATTGCTCTATCTCACTTGTGTAGAACAAGCTATAGTACACTTATATAATCGTGTTTAGAAGAATATATGAAATGTTTCGCAAGAGGAATAAATATAAGTTTTCAATAATATTCTTTTAAAAAAAGAAATTCTGAATATTTAAAATTGCTGATTTTTATCTTTAAAAATTCATTTTTGGCCAATGTATCTAACCGTATAATAAAACTTTTTTAAAAATATAGAGAACTGTCATATTTCTATTTTTTCACATCATGCATATTTGTCCAAAGAACGACAACTCCTCAAACTTTGGTTATAACATTCAGATAGAGAAAAAATTTCTTTAATTAGTATATCTATTTCAAGAATGATTTCAGCTATTAAAAAATATAAATATTTCTATTTAATATATTTTTTAATAGCTGAAATCAGAAAGACTAAAAAAAGAGCATAAAAAAGCTTTCTGGAGTAATAATCATTCTAAAAGCATTCTCATTTTTCATCATAGTGTTAAATAATTGATTTTTTGTCAGACGGTTTTAATACCGTTGATAGATGATTTTACAACGGCGTAAAAATGTGATGACGGCGCCGTTTTTATCCAGATAACTGTGTTTGAGAGGAAAATACAGAGCAGTTGTGCATTTGAGCCTTTGACGAAAATGAGTTTTCATTTTCACTTGATGGGGGTTGTACACTGTTTGTGATTTATTAGAGAATAGGAGCATTGATCAGGTTTACTGATTTTAAAGTCGTATGTTTTTCATTACTGAACACAAGAAGCTGCGTCCTTATGTAAGTCAGGATTTCCTCTGATATTACTGAAAAAAATAAAAGAATGCAAATATAAGTAAAAAACAACGATTATTCTGTGAACAGTGCATTACGAATAGCATTAGCTCTGCTAGAATATTTTCCATGATGCGCTAGTGCGCATACTAGATTGTACTCATTGTGCTAAGCATTTTCGGTTCACTACAGAGAACTTATTCATAACTTGCTAGGTTACGTAGCAATCATTTTGTACTTTATTAATTTTACCATCAGAACTAGTTAAAATGTTTTATTTAAATAAAGAACACATCATTTTTCAGGTCTGAGGAATGCAATTGTTGAAATGAACCAAAGAACCCTAAGGAATCATGGTTTGTTTCAGAACATTCAATAAGTTCATTTTTTTTTAATTTGCTTTTGTCTACGTATTATTAGTAAATTTGGTACATTAACCAAAAAAGATAAAACTTTGGCATAAATTTGAAAGTAATGAACCACGGACCATTGGAAAATGAAAAGATACAAGTAGGATAAGATGCCTGGAATGAATAACGAATTATTGAAATAACTTGCAGTATCCAAACTCATAAGTACTTCTATACAATTTTTATCAAAAGAAGAGCAAATATCGACCAATCTTTAAACAATCAGTGGTGGGATCTTGTGCCATGAATAATTATTCAGTTAGAATATTGACCGGTCACCCGAGCTACAACCCTATGCATTGTTAGATAGAATGAACATAAAAAAACGTGATTACACTATAAAATTTTTTCATTAGCAAAATTATTGGAGACTTTCTGTAAGACAACCATGTTAATACTATTGCTTTCTTTCCCAGTCGCCTTTTTCCCAGTTGTGCAAAATACAATTATAAATTTAAGCAATAAAATGAAACACATGGAGATAATGAATTGTATTCAAGATCAAATGTCTTTTATACAATACAAAATAGGAACAGAGTTAATTCGGACTCCAAAACATCGAAAAAGGTATTAGGTGCCACCGAGATGTGAGCATCCCCTGCCGACCTTTCAAACCCGCCGTGACCATTACTTCGTCAAAAAAGAGAAAATTTCAGCATGGATAAAAATATGTCTATGGTATGAATAGGGTTTAAAATCCAAAAAGTATGTCTTTCCTGTCCCACTACATCTGGAGAGGGAAAATTACGTACATTTTGTGCGTTACAGTGCCGCTTAAACTTAGCTGCGTCGCCCTTCGTTTATTTTTTATGAATTATTAAAAATAAAACTTACAAGGAAATGCATATTTAACAAAAATGTATTTTGATAAAATATTACAAAATGAAATCTACGCTTTTCATAACGGGCACGAATAACCCGCAAAAGATTGAGTTATGATCTTGCACGATATACGAGCGATTTTACACGTTTGGTTTGCAGCCATTGTAGAAATTAGCGTGAATAAAATTCAACATAAATCAAAAATGGATATTTAAACAAACTCAATAATGGGCTATAAATAGAAAAACATTGTCTACGGGACCATCTCTTAGACGTGCAAAACATACTTTCTGTTACGAACAAAAAAATCACTGTAATTATATTACATTTCGCTGCGTATTCTTTTTGGCTTCCGCTAAAACAATTACAACGCCAATTGGAGATAACAAACAGTATTCAAGAATAAGGATATGGAAATAACGAACAGTATTCAATCTCAACGTCCATTAAACAAATATACAAAACAAGAGCAGAGCAAACACGGACCTCCAAAACATCAGAGGTGGGATCAGGTGCCATGGAGGAGTGAGCATCCCCTGCTGACCGGTCACACCCGCCGTGTGCTCATTGTCATAATCAGGAAATAACGGAAAAAATCCGTAGTCAATTCAGTGTATAAAATAATGGACTAACAATTGGTATGAAAAACGTCAGTCAGCATTTCATTCAATGATAAATTGTATTTGCTGACAAGGTCATTGTATCGACCATAGAATTTACGAAATGATGACTTTAAACGAGACTGTTGATATTCTTGTTTCATCAACTTGCTTGTCAATAATTTACCTCGTTTAAGAAATTGTTCATACGTAGAGCATGCTCTTGCGTATCGAATCAACTGAGATATAAATACTCCGTATGCAGGTGATGAAGGTATATTGCTGCATAAGTAAGGGAAGTTGACGATAGAAAAGTTAAAGTCATCACGTTTATCATATAGCTTGGTTGTTAGATTACCATTTGTGTCTTTTTCAAGTAGAATATCCAAGTATGAAGCAGATGTGTTGGACTCTGTGGTATCTTTTATCTCAAGCTCACCAGGATATATCGTGTCGACGTAGGAATGGAAATTATCATTATTAATTGACAATACGTCGTCGATATATCTAAATGTCGAGTTGAAGGCCACAGCAAGTGTTTTTTTTCTTATCATGCAAAAGATTTTGCATAAATTCTGCTTCATATGAATATAAAAATAAGTCTGCTAGTAACGGAGCGCAATTTGTACCCATGGGAATTCCAATAGATTGTTGGAATACCTGGTCTCCAAAAACCACATAGATATTGTCAATCAGAAACTCAAGCATCTTCTTGATGTCAACTTCAGAGTACTTATGTGTACAATCAGAATCTGTTTAAACAAAATAATTTTTCAAATGACCAATGACGAGGTAAGTAAACTTACGAGTTCCATTTTTGTTGAAGAAGAAGCTGTCAATGATATCAAAAAGCCTGGATTTTAATTTGTCGTGCGGAATTGTTGTGTATAAAGTTGAAAAGTCGTAAGTTTTTATGCTGTTGATTTTTGTAAAGTCTTGTGATTTCAAATTGTCCAAAAGTTCTTTAGAATTTTTAAGTGTCCACATCTGATTTACACCACTTCTTGAATATATAGTTGTACAGTACTCTTGAAGTTTTTCCTTCACTACTGTCAATATTTTAGTGAGAAGTAACGAAAGAGGCTTGGTTGAACATATACTGGAACCTGCAATGTATCTTTGTTTGTAAGGATTCTTATGAAGTTTCGGAATCCAATATATATAAGGTAGTTCAAATTCAATTTGGTTCTGTGGAATATTAAAAGTATTCAAAACTGACAGGTGATTTTGAAGAATTTCTTCCTTAGAAAGAGTAGTATATGTATAAGTAGGATTACAACTCGTAGAATTAAATCCAAGTTCTTCTAAAATGCAATTAATATAATGAGCCTTACAAACGAAGACAATGTTGTTACCTGCTTTGTCGGCAGGAACCAGTACGTACTGATCGTGTAATCTATCTAATTCTTTTTTCACTTCTGGTTTATTGAACACAGAAGGATAGATAAAAAGAACAAAGTCCGCAAAACAATATATAATATATACTTCTTAGAAAATAATCGCCGTAACTCCCTGCAATATGATCGGAAAGCAACGAAAAAATCCGTTGTCAATTCAGTTTATAAATGATAAACTTACAGTTAGTATAAGAAACGCCAACGCCAGCCAGAATTTGACGCAATGATAAATAGAAATTACTGACAAAGTCGTTGTATCGACCACGGAACTTACGAAATAATGACTTTAAACAAGACTCCTGATATTCTTGTTTCAAAAACTTCTTTCCAATAATTTACATCGTTTTAGAAATTGTTCGTACAAAGAGCATCCTCTTGCATATCGAATCAACCGAGATATACGAGGGTTGTCCCAAAATTTCGTAGACTGAGCTCATATCTTTTAAAGAAATTAATGTATCTTTATAAAATTTTCAGGGTGGATAAAGCGTGTTCTTGGCAGATAAATTTTATCATGTTTACTTCAAAACTTTTCGAGTAATAACATTTAAAGTGATGTCATTCTCTAACACCCGGAGCAATCTGCAACGTCAAAAAATACAAATGTCTACGGTTCAAAATTTTTGAGAAAATATTTCAACGACCAGAATCAAATTCTTAAATCAAACGAAACGGTTATAGTTATAAATGTGAAATATCTTAATTACTACGATATGATTAAACATTAAAATATGTAATAAAAGTATATGCATGTACAGGTATGAAATAATAATAATTTGAAAACGCTATATTTCTACGGGCTTTTCGTCTATTTTCTCTAATGGATTTGCACAATGGAACTCTTGCCCATTTCTAAGCCCTGTTGTTTATTTTAATTACTGTTTTTGACATATACATTGAGAAACCGTTTTAGTCATTTTAAATACTAAGGAGGAGAAAAAGTTTCCTAGTCTACCAAACATTTATGACTGGTACATTTCTGTAAGAGTGAAATCAGGATCAAAACAGTTGATCATAGTCCAGTGCGCCGCCTGCGCCAACGCCGCCGCCATTTTTAAAAAATTCGGATTTTAACCCCTGGTATATAAAACGTTATAAAACTCATATTTATCAAAGCATACACACCAAAATTTAAGGAAATATAGTTAATAAAACAATATTAAGAATTTTCATTTCCATTAGAAAAATATGGGGAAGTAATTATTTTTCCGTATGATTTTAAATATAATATACCAAATTTTAATTGCATCTTTTGGGTATTGCGTCGCCTTCCTACACCAGACAATGAGATGCGTCTTTAAAATTGGAATAATTTGTGTAGTAACTTCATATTTGTCCATAAATTTATCAGATAGTGTTTGTTTAATCTATATACGAAGTTTCATTCATGTATGACGTAGGGTTCCTACAAAACAATGCTTGTCTACGGAATTTTTGGGACAACCCTCGTATATACTCCGTATGCAGGTGATGAAGGTATATTGCTGCATAATTAAGGAGATTTGAGGATAGAAAGATAACGTCCTCACGTTTATTATAGACTTGGTTGTTAGTTAACGATCAACGTCTTTTTCATGTAAAATATCCAAAAATGAAATAGATGTGTCTGACTCTATGGTATCTTTTATTCTAGCTGATATTTTATACATTTATTGACTTTTAATGAGATCTACTCGTGACTGTACGGATCTTGTCAGATGTTGGTTGACCGTTGCTGAAGGATTAGGAACTTTACAACACTTTTTACACTTTCATATTTGTCTCCATCAAATATAAAAATTCATAATATTAGGTAAAGTAAAACAATATTTTTTACTTCAACAGTTTAACAAATAGTAGTAAAAATTTAAAAACAATCTTAAATACTCAACCATTTTCTTACAAAAGTGTTTAATCTCCTTCGTAATGGCGTCTGAAATGATTACATTCACATCGGCACATGCTTCGATAGACGCAATCCGATCGGTCGAAAAAACTGTAAGGAAATCTATGATTATTCAAGAGGTAAACCCCGAATAAACCTCATAAGAGTTGAACACACTCTGAAGTACATCTTAGGCAAAGGCGTCTAGACCAATCAGAGACCAGAATTCCTGATCATTTAATATATAATACTGACGATTTGCATTTATGTAACTAAACTATACCTTGTTAAGCTTCTGAAAATGGAATATGAAATCGGTATTGATTTATTCGATGTTGTGATTTATTTATAATATTATTATGTGACTGTATGGTTATATTTACAGATATCAATTGTTAAAAGTACGTCTCATTCCTCGACTTGCAATATGTATTTTCAAAAATGCAAAACAACAGAATAAATCCAAGTAAATACATTTTTCTCTTTTCAGCTGAAGCAGTGATAGCTGTTCCGATTGCCGTTTTAGGGTTTTATGGCATACAAAGTACGAAAAAAGTTCCAAAGTTACACATATTTTTTTAATCTGTCAAACTTTTTGGCATTATTTTCTTTTAACACAGTCTGGTAAGGAAAATATACATGAAGTTCTTTGGCTGGAATAAAATCAATCCTATTAAAACAATGTTTTGCAAAAATGTTTCTTTCAGAATAGGTAAGTCCGGAATATTTGAATTTTTCCTGCCTTTTAGACGATTTTGATATTTTACATGCCAGGAAAACGTCAAAACCGACGCCATACGTAAACTTGGAATTCGCCGTCTCCAAGTGGTGGCGGCATTCTCGACTTTATTTTAGATACTTGCAAATCGAATTAAATTTCAAAGTCACATGTTCTCAATAGTACAATACTTTTAGTACCTATATATATCGTTTTTATTGTTCAGTTATAAAATTGCAATTACCGGAACAAAATGTGGAGTGGTATTTTCTTTTCATCGATATTGGTGAGTACTAGAGGCATTGTGGTATTGATAATTTCTGATTTCGGCATTTAGATCGGTTTGCAAGTATAAAAATGAACTCTGTTTCGAAAAGGCGAAATTTCCAGTTTTCGTAATGGCACCAGTTCTGACGTTTTCCTGGCATGTAAAATATTAAAATCGTAAAAAGGCCTAGATTTGTCGGAAGGAGAATCGGTAAACTTTTTTGAATGAAACAAACATATGTAAGCAGGTTGTTCAAAAAGTTCGTGGACGATATCAATTTTCGTTATATTTCTCACTAGAAATATCGAATAAGCACATTCAAATATATAAAGATTTTTGTTTTGCTGATGTGCAAAGCTTCATTTCATCTAATTTAACAGAGAATTTACTTCTTTAGAATCAACAAGGTGTGTACTTACGGAGCACACTTAACGGCAAAGTAAATTCAAAACATTGCGTTGGGAATTTCTATTTAAGAATACTATCTATATATATTTCACACCATATAATACAATGTCAATTCATTAAATCCTTTTTCTTATACTTAAAAATTATTTTTATGAATTCTTTTCGTTGTATTATTTCCTTTGTTAAGGTTTTAAGGTGATTCCACCCTCACAATTTTAATGGTTCGAAGTACAAAAACTGTATTTATTTTCATTTAATATACTTCATATCTCTTCTTTCCCTACATACATATCAAAATCAGACAAACTCAAATGTGTGTTGAAAAAAGTTTATTGATCAAAATATGATAATAATCTGATCAAATCAAATTTCAAACTTGTACAAACTGTTTAAAATAGTTCCAGTATAAGAAAATCGAATTCAAAATATTGACATGTAGATTACACTTTCCTTACAGAAAATGAATTAAAAATTGTAAAATTGTGAATACAGTTCATTATAACAAAATTTATGCTACAATTTTAATTTGCGAATGCATTTACAGTTTCTCTATTGAGGGATTTGTCAATGTAAAGGAACATAAGTAATCGGCAAACATATTACACATGAAATCCAAAAGTTAAAATAATACAAGAAACGAAATATCCTGGCATCGATATCCACAAAACTGTATAACATAATGAATATTTATTAAGCATGTATCCAACAACTATAGGATTAGTGTATTTACACAAAAATCGACTAGTGGCAGCAGGTTTGTTCGAGAACCCATCAGTTGAGAGGATTTGTAAAATCGTCGCAACTACCCACCCAAGGCCACAGAATACATATCATGGACAAGTAGTATAATTAAGAAGGTTTACAGATGAGACATGATAGCAAAGACGATCAGATGCCAGTAATTACACATGTATTTGAAGCTTAAACTACATGTATAAAATAAAACAATTTTTAACATGAAAGACGCAAATCAGTTCTCATTTTATATTAACAACCCAAGCAAGTAACAATGTCTCACCTGTCTTTCTAATATTATACTTGAAGTTTCAATAAAATAAGTAAAATCCTTTTATTGTCGGGATTTATGTTAACATCCCGGCCCAAGCAGGTAATGGGATCAAACATGCTCAAAACATTTTCGAACAATATACACCAGATGGCACATTCTCTGATTTCTTAGTCTAATCAAAATGAATGATTATTGATATTGAAAATTCCGGCCCAAGCAGGTACAATACCCTCTAACATTAGCATTCGATTGTAAAACAAACACAGTAACAAAATCTATTTGTGAGTTATGGCAAGCAATTTTTATCTTACAGATCTAACATATTTTTAAAATGCATTTGAATTCCACCTTCCCATGGATCTAATTTGCGCATCAGATAAATCCTTTCAGCTGCTGAAATTGCAGCTCCTATCCAAAAGTTGTGCCCTTTGTACCTCTTACTATCCCGGACACACAAGCTCAAACATTTGTGCAAAGGTTTGTCAAAACAATTTCGCTTCATTGGAAAACCTGTTTGTGATTAAAAAAAATGGACCTTGATTGGTAACACGTGAACGTAAATATATTAATATCGCCTCAATTGCGGAAAGTTTGCCATCCCCGTAAGAGAAAGTGATATATTTTGGAAGACCTGCCCAATAGTGTTTAAACTTTTTTAAAACAAACAGTAGCTTTAGTAACAATCCTCTTTCTTTTATAAAGCTAACATCCGACATGATGTCTCCTAAATGTTTAGTATTTCACGAAAATAAACATACCAAAGTCTTATAAGTACAATTATCTGCATAATATGATTAATACATATACATTGCATTTAAGTTTTCCAATTAATGCAAAAAATGTATAGGTCACCATGTTATTATATCTGCGAAACATGAATAAACAGAAGTGTATGACGACATTAAAGAATTCGCATATTCTTTATTCACAGTTTTTTGAAAAAATATTTAAACACTGATTAAAATGCATTATTTTTATGCTGAATGTTCCAATTACTTCCTACTTACAAGATACTTTTGAATTGCAAATATCAGGGAAACCATTTTATATAAGAGGTACATGTACAATAAAGCAGATGCCTGATTGCAGAGACTTTAGAAGGTGTTATTGCCGTTGCCAATATTTTTTTTAAATATGAATAATTGATTAAATACAGAAAATAAGCATTTCTTTAATTCTTTTACTGAACAATATTTATCATTACACATATTGTAAAACACTTTTTTCAAGAGATATTGTTCTATAATGTATTAATTTAAATTAATTACATTTTTTTGTAAAAACCTATTACATCAAAGGAGGATGGAATTACCTTAATTTCTTTTACTACTAAACTCTGCTTTCAGAGGATAAGCAAATCTGAAGAGCCAAATATGTCTTTCCCTGACATTCAACTTTTTAAAGATTTTTTTTACAGTTAAACTGTTTCATCACAGACCATCCTCATCTAATACAGTCTCTATTACTCAAATGCTACATGTATTATCTGAACACAGATATGCAATTCGCTTGTGAAGGTACCCTAGCAACAGTTAACTATGCAATACTGTGTTTTACTCAGGAAAAATCCCTATTAACTCTTAAAAAATTAGAGGAATCAAGAAAATATGTCACAAGCGAATTGCATTATTAGTTATTTTATTGTTAAGATATTCAACTTTTTTTTCAAGTGTAAATTGGGGGCCTTTGACAGCAAAATGCTTCATTAAAACACATCTCTTGTCAAACTTGCTTTTACTAGGCAACGTTACAAGTTTTATTTCTAACCATTTGATTTCTTTCATTGATTGCATTTATAGGAAGTGTACAAATCATTATACGCTACTTCAAAGGGATCTTTAAGATATACCATAAATTTTACAGTCGTTCATTGAACGAGTACGACTGAGACAACAATTTTCGTCACAAGGGACCTACATAGTGACGTCATTTTCACATAAGGACGTCAGAGACACGGATCAAACCTTTATTAATCATATGCTATTTACAGAATTTGATTACGGACATATAAAATAACTATTGAATACCTGAGATATCGGTTACTTTAGATTTGAAAACAGATATGATAAAAGAGGTAACCATACTCTAGCTACCCACCTTGAATACAAGTCTCTTCCGGGACAGAACATGTCGGTTTTGATGGTCGCCATGCTTATATTTTGAAAGATTATTTTTGTCCAACCATTCTGTTGTAAATATTTCACCATATCTGATAAATGAACTGTTCCTGTTACAAAAATTAACTTACATGGAGAGAAATATAAAACTCAGAATTTTTTTCAGCTTTTGTGACAGAACGCTTAAGAGGGGTCACGTGACCGACGATGTCACGTGTTTTGCGCATGAGCAGAACATTAATAATATAATCTACATTTACACGAAATATTGTTTCCTTTCTGAGAGTTATTCAATTAGTTTGCAAACTTTATGATCACCCCTCGTATACCTGATAGGTTTGTAGAAAGCATGATTGTTTCAAAATTTCATTTACCAAATGAGGCATCATCTTATATCTTTTATTGGGACATGATTTGAAATCGGAGGGTTTAACAGAAGATTTGATCACATGCCAACTCCTATTTACCTGCCGATAAATGTTTTTAAGGACGCTTATTAGTTACATTTACATTTGTGAGTGAGCAATTAAAAATTTTAAGAAACTATAGTTGTATAGGGGATACAACATACAATTATTCTGTTAAATTTATACATTTTATGAATGTTTTTGTAAATGAGCAATCATAATTACATAGTTAATTTTTTTAAGGAATTCTAATGTCAATTTATTCCATGACTAGAATCGATACATGTGTATGATTGAAATGAAAAGTAATGACAATATTTAATCTCCGTTATCTTTCAGGACTATTCTCGATGGGTGATTCTGAAGAGTCTGGAGAGGAGAGGGAAAATCAAAGTATGTGCATTATATATTATTTAAAACTATCTTTACTTTTACTTTGCCTAAACTGTGACAAATCATTGCAGCTATTACAAAGCAAATTTATTTTGATTTCAAATTAAAAATTAAGAGTATTTCAGATTATTTGCTGGAAAGACCTTGGCGAAAAATTCACCTAAGATTGACAGAACCCTTGGAGGTACGTTTTTAGCATGAATGTTAATTTAATGTATACGATGTTTTTTACCATCCCTTCGATAATGTAAATGACGAATTAAGATACATATTACTTACATAAGTGAATACTTAACTGATTTAAAATGATATATTAAATGATATATAAACATTGTCGAAAAGAGCAAGTAAAAACGGTTTTGTTCAAATGCAGTCACTAGTATATATATCGCAAAAAAAATTACGTTATATTTCATGTATAAAGTTTTTACAGCAAATATGAACAAATTATGTAATGACTTGATTATTTATTAAATATTTAATTATTATTATTTATTAAATATTACTAGGGATGTAGAAAAAGAGCTCCAGGTGATAAAGCTTTATTCCTCAAACCATTATAGTATCCACCCTTATACGAATAAAAGCTTAAACATAGTCACAGTGTACAAAAATTTTCCCAATTGTACATATTGACAGTACAGTTATTAAACACCGAGGTATTTATTTCTCAATTACCGACCTTTTTAGTCAATGTTGTAGTAAATTATGCAGCGCTATACTGGACTTTGAAAATTGATTGGACTTCTACCAATTCTAAATTTATCTATTACCTGTAATAATGTTCAAATGCTGTAGGAACACACCAGCACCGTGAAGTTTTGAAACTTTGATAATTATTAAAACAATAATCCTACATAGTTAGGACATTTTGATAGCCGGGCTAATCGATAATTGAACAAACAGTATTGTACAATATCTCCTAATGTGTGAATACGTGTATATTAACCCCTACCATTTTCCAATTTATTTGTGATTATCTTTAAAAACACAGTGATGACAATTCTCTAAGCGTACTAGAATGAAAGAATGTACAGGCTAATTCAAGAACACTATAATTCACTTTTTTATTCGTGAGAACTTTATTTTCGCGTAATAACGTGAGACAAAAATTACATTCTCGTGTATAATAGTATTTTTAAGATAATATGGAGCAACAACCACAATTTGTGAAAATTTTGTCTTGCTAATCAAGAGGAAATGACAATCTCGCGAAAATAAGTCGTCGCAAAAATTCAGTGATCTACAGTACGTGATTTTACGAGAATTCATACATTTTGGAAAATTATTTACTGGTGTAAATCTATTTCATTTCACTATCTTATTCCTACATGTACTTTAAGTTCCTGTGAAAGTCGGTGTGTTACATGCTGCATGTATAGGCATTTGACGTTACTTTTTACATAAATTTACGAAAATTTGTTTTTGATTTATAAATACACTATCGATAAATTTTTTTAAAAAATATTTCCGGATAGTCGACTATCGTTCGAATAATTTAATCGAATGTTCGACTAAGGAAAATAAATGTTTCGACATCCCTAGATATTACCATATAATCCATAAGATTCATTGATAATTGTCTTATAAGGGATAATCCCATTATTTTGAATATGGCATAGAAAATGAATACTAAAATGCAATCTAATATTCCTAGAAGATATTAAGCAAGAATTGAGCAAGAGACAAGCCTATGAAAGTCCAGTCATTACCTTACCACAATTTGAAATCTGTTTTCAATGTGTTACATTTTTTCATTGAAAACGATTCGTTTTGTTAACTGGATGTTTGATTGACTGATTGATTGTAAATTGTTAAACGTCCCACTCGAGAATTTTTCACTCATATGGAGACGTCACCGTATGCTGGTGAAGGGCTTCAAATTTTGACCTTTACTCAGGACCATTTAGCCGTAAGGGATTTCAGTCGTGCTAAAGCCTGCCGCTGACACTGGAAACTTTCACTTCAAAGTGCCAAGCGCATGGTGGGGGAACAGTTGCTACCTATTTTTTTATCGACTTAGGTCAAGCGGCCGAGATTCGAAGTCACGACCTCCCGACCACGGAGCAAGTGCTCTACCGACTGAGCTGCCGTGAATAGTCTTGATGTTCGAGGTTGATCGTAATTCAGATATTTTGCATCTTTTCATACGTATATTTGCAGATAAAAGACGACTTCAAACGAACCATATCGGAGATATGGCCACAAAATGATAAAACACTTAATATTTTACTTCTTGGACAAACTGGGAGTGGAAAACCTTCCTTCATAAATGCATGTGCAACATCTTTGGAACGTAATTCAAGAATTGTAAACCTAGCGGTAGTAGGTTCAATGCAGCCCGGAAGTATAACAATAAGGGTAGGTCTCTATGAAAGCTACAGGTTTAATGGAAGCTTAAATTAATCTATTTAGGTCTGATGTTACTTTATGTAATTATAAATTTAATTTACTAAGTTTGAATATTTTATCTTCCAACTTTAAGTTTATGCTAGTTATTGGGTGCTTACTTGAGATACATTATTTATGTGATTAAATATTTTCTAAAAACTTTGTATAATGCAAAAACAAAGTAAGAAAATACTTTGTGTATCTGCTGCATCCAACAATTTGTTGTAGTTTCCATTAGTGGTTATTGCGCTAAATCTCATTTTTTATCAAACTCGTATTTGTATTCAAATGCAGTAAATTTATTTGAAATCGACAAAGATGAAGTTAATTTTAGATTTTTCGACGATGTCTTAACAGTTAACTTTTTTTTATTTTTAAATTGATTTCGAGGGCTGTTCAATAAATAAATTGCTTTGTGATCAGAAAGAAGCGAGTGACGCTTTTTAATGATTAAGTCTTGATTTTTTTACTTATTGATCTTTTTTGATTAAAACATATGCCCGTATAATTTTTAATCCAATTTCTGATTGTTTGTAGAACTCATTTTTGGATATGATTCTTAGTATACTGGAAAATGGAAGATCTGATGATTTTTTAAACTTGTTTCTTCCTTATCAAATGTGCTTTTTGCACGTTTGAAAATAGAAACAAGTCAAAAGATCAAAGATCTGGCGAATATTTTTAATGTGAAAAATATTAACTATCTTTTTATACCGAAATTCATTTACTATTCAGGGCATGCGGGTTTGGACGTTGCCAGAAAGAAATTTAATGTAGTGAATTCGTGATATTGGGTCCTACCTCTAGTAAACCTTTTGACATTTTTTGACACAATTTGCTTCCTAGATTCTTCAAGAAATTAAACTGTCAACCCGAATACGGGTTCAAACATCAATACCTCTAATATTTTAGAAATTGCATATGTATCTGTCTTTGTGATCTTGCAATTCCTTGCTTTCGCCAGACATTCTCTGTTTTTGTGAAGTGCATCTTATGGTTAATTTTGTTTTGAGGATTTTAAGCAAAAGATTCAAGTTCACTTATCTGTTTGAAATTTTAAAAAAGTAGATAAATCTAATTAGTGATATTTTTCTAAATGGTAAGACATTTGTACACGCTGTCGTTTTCACTCATTTTTCATAATATACAGTGACCTTTGAGTTCTAAGCTTTTTTTTTTTACCGTCAAACGTTTCTTTAAAAAAAATGTAAACTAACCCCAATATGGTGTCTATAAATTTGCTGTGTGTCTTAAATTCAATCCTACATCATCAAGTATTATTTGTTGAAATTTGGCAAACAGTACAAAAGTTGTTATAATTTGTTTTTGGCAAGGACGGTACCCATTTTGATGCCCATTACATAATTTTTTATCATTGAAATCCACTTTTTCATTTATCATTAAAACAGGCATTACTCACTTACCCAGTCCTCTCTGCGCCTTCTGGCACTTGAGGCGATAGCAAGGGCTCTCCAATTGGCTCTCTCGGCTGCTGCTCTGGGGGCTGTCTGCAGGGTGAGTCCTCTGTTCCTCGGGTCTCTCTCAATGGTGCATCGCCAAGTCTCCTTTGGGCGCCCTCTGTTCCTCTTCCCCTGTGGTGTCCAACCAAGAGCTGTCCTGGTAATGGAGCTGGTAGGCATGCGGCAGACATGTCCCAACCATCTCCAGCGTCGCCTTTGGATCATCTCTGCCAGAGACTCCATATTTGCCATGTTTCGGAGATTTTCATTGGAAATAGTGTTGGGCCAGATGATCTTCATGATGCAACGTAGGCACTTGGTCTGGAACACTTCAAGTTTCTTCTCAATGGTGACAGTGGTCTTCCAGCACTCAGATCCATATAGCAGCACACTGAGGACATTGCTCCGGAATAATCTGATTTTTGTCTGGATGCTGAGGCTTGTAGATTCCAAAACAGGTTTGAGCATGGCAAAACCTTGGTTGGCTTTGCTGAGTCTGGTCTTAATCTCTTGCTCGCAATCACCGTCTGTTGTCATTTTGCTGCCCAAGTAGGTGAATTCCTCTACGTTCTCCAGCTGCCTCCCGTTGACTGTGATTGGGTCTGTGTTTCTGGCATTTTTCCTCATGACCTGCGTTTTCTTGGTGTTAACTCTGAGTCCTATGGTGTTGGCTATTTCGCTGAGGGTCTCCGTCTTTTGCTGTATGTCCTGATGTCTACTAGATAGAAGCCCCAGGTCATCAGCATATTCTAGGTACTCTAGGACTGTGGTCAGAGTCCACTGAATGCCCTGCTGTCTTCCTTCGGTGACGTTGCGCATGAGCCAATCCACTGCAAGGGAGAAGAGCATTGGAGACAGTATGCAGCCTTGCTTCACGCCAGTATCCACTCTGAAGGGATCTGTCAGTTTGTTGTCATGTATTACTTAGCACTCGATGTTTTTGTAGAGGGACTGGATGATGTTTACCAGTTTCTGCGGGATGCCATAGTGTCGTAGGATCCTCCAGAGGGATGCTCTGTGAAGGCTATAAAAGGCCTTCTCAAAGTCAACAAACACCAGGTAAAGTGGGCTGTTCCATTCGTGCGACTGCTCAAGTATCTGGCGGAAAAAGAAGATGTGGTCAATGCAAGATCGTCCTTTTCTAAATCCAGCCTGCTCCTGTCGTAAGATGGTGTCCACTGCTGTGGTGGTGCGCTGGAGGATGATGCGGCTAAAGATCTTGCTCGTGAGGGACAGCAAAGTGATTCCTCTCCAATTGTTGCAGTCTGACAGGTCCCCTTTCTTTGGAAGTTTTAAAATGACTCCTTTTCTCCAGTTGTCTGGAATTTCCTCGTTGTCCCAGATGTCTTGGAGAATACTTTGAAGATGTCGTGTGGTGTCCTGTTCCTCTGCCTTCAACATCTCAGCGCAGACTCCATCCTCTCCTGGTGCCTTGCCATTCCTCAACTTGCAGATGGCGTCCTTCACCTCCTGTAGTGAGATGGATCCCAGATTGATGTCCAGGTTCTCTTCTGCCTCGCTGATTTCTGCAAGAGCTGGTGGGTCAGGCTGATTCAGGGTCTGCTGGAAATGATCCCTCCATCTCGCTAGCTTGGTTTGCTCTTCAGTGATTAATGTGCCATCGCTTGCCTTCAGTGGGAGGTCCTGATTCTGTCCTCTGTCTCCTCTTAGTTTCTTAGTAATCATGTAGACAGTCTTCATGTCCTTCTTTTCAGTGTTTGCTTCCGCTTCATCTGCTAGTTTTTCTGTGTACTGCCGCTTGTCTCTTCTTGCCGAGATCTTGACTTGTCTGTCTTTCTCTCTGTACTGCATTTCTGCTCTCTCTTTCAATCTTGGGGATTTGGTGTCCAGGACTCTCTTCTTCAACTGTTTTCTCTCCTCAATGGCTTTCCATGTGTCTGTGGACATCCATTCTTTCTTTTTGCTCTTTCTGTATCCAATGGTCTCTTTTGCAGCTTCTGTTACTGCGTTGTTGAAACTATCGATGGTGAGTGCTGTTTTGTCTTTGAGGATACTGAAACGATTCTTTAGTGCCAAGTTGTACTGCTGCTTAAGCGCTGGGTCTGTCAGCATGCCAACATCAAAACGCCGGTTCCTGCTGCTGCCAATCTTGGTCTACCTCAGCTTAAGTGTCAGCTTTGCCACAAGTAGGTTGTGACCACTACCAACATCTGCATTTCGCATAACTCTTACATCCTGAAGGAAGCGCTTCCACTTGCTGTTTATCCCAATGTGGTCGATCTGGTTCTGCGTTCTCCCGTCTGGTGATGTCCAAGTGAGCTTGTGGATGGTCTTGTGTGCAAAAAGAGTACCGCCTAAGACGAGGGTGTTCTCTTCACAAAACCCAATTAGTCTCTCACCGTTGTCATTTAACTGTCCTGTATCATGTTGTCCCATGATTCTCTCCCTGTTCTCGTTGCTACTGCCTACCTGTGCATTGAAGTTTCCCAACAACAGAAGAACATCATGTCTTGGGATGTCCTCCACTGCAGTCTGTAAAGCACTGTAGAACTCATCCTTGTCTTCCTCGTCTGCTACTTCCGTTGGTACATATGCAACGATAACTGACAGCTTGGTGTACTTGGAGTCCATTCTTACATGGAGCAGTCGTTCATTAATTGGCTTCCATTGTAACAGGCTGTTGGTGTGCTTCTTACTGATGATGAGGGCAACACCTTCCTGGTGGTTTCCATCCTGTCTGCCTGACCAGATGATGGTTTCGCCTGAGCTCATTCGCTGCTTTCCTGCCCCTGTCCATCTTGCTTCTGAAACTCCCAGCATGCAGAGGTCATAGCTGTTCATCTCATGTACTGCTTGTGCTAATCTTCCTGCTTGAAACAGAGTGCTCACGTTCCAAAAAGCAACTCTCATGCATCGTTTAGGCGTCAGGAGCTCAACAGTCTGGCTAGAGACGTCCTCTCGGATTTGATCCCCAGCCTTCATAAGTCCAGTTGCTTGGTCTGCTTCGTTCCATTGGCCAGTTGAATTATATTCCCTTGATCTCGTTTCTGTAGCAGTAAAGTTTTTACGAGGTCGGGTTGCTGGTCCTACGCCCAACCCTCCTCCTTTCTCATCCGGGTTTGGGACCGGCCATGGCGGAGGCATAGGTTGCTGTAAATATCACATATATCAGTAAATATATTTTGGGGTATCTTAACAGGTTTTACAGCAGCTTTGATGAAGCTTTTATCTTCACTCTAGTTCTCTGATTCTTTACCATTCGTTTATAATGCAGTGTCTCGAATAGCCCTTGTTTCCCAGCTTCTCACAATCAAACTTTGTGATGAAAAGTGGTCACATAAACTGTTATGAATTTATTAAAGATATAAATATGAAAGAAAGTCAAGTTTAATGTTATATGATATCTGTATTGTATGTCATACAGTTCAAGACATTATTTATTGAGCAGCCCTCGTTAATGTATCACGTTAACACGAAATATAGAAACTTAATTGTGAATTAAAGAAAAAATTAATCATTAAATTGTAATGTTTGGAAAATTTTAAAATATGCATAATATATACTTATCACTTTTTAGATAATACATGTATTCATTGTATTGTATATGCAAAATCTGAATTTGCAAAAGAAAAGAAAATTGCGTAAAAATGTTTCAAATACTTAGTCATTAAACTTGTTTTAAATACAGAAACTACCACTGACTATATCCTTATTCACTTTCTAAAAAACATAAGTTAAAAGATTTTTTTATACTTCAAAATGCAACAAGGATGCATATATAAATGGTTAGATTCTTCTCTTGAAAATGTAAGAAAAAATAAGAACCGCGTGTACCTTTATAGCTCGAATCATATACCCTTGATGTAGAAGTTGACTTAGAGAAGAGAAAATTACCTGTAAAATTATTTGACTGTCGAGGACTTTCTGGCGAAGAAAGAGGAGTTAAGACTGAGGATATAAAAAGAATTTGCCAAGGCAATATTATTGCTGGATATGAGGTATGCAAACAGATACTTCTGTTGGTTTTGAATATTTCTTTATGTGAATAGAAGACAATTAACACGCATTTACATTGAAAACGATTTCATTTAATGTAAAACACCTATATGCTTCTTTCTAATATATTAAGTATCCGACCCATATCAGCCTCAGATTCGATGGGCTTAAATGCATAACAGATATGTATCAGCATAACAGATATGTATCAGCGGAAAACTAAGTAAATTTATTATTTATATATAATGTTCATGTTTTTGCATCAGTATGCATGAGCAGAAAGTGGACTTAATTATGATCTTTTCCTCTCCTCAAAGATTAACCCCCTTTCCCTTTACTAGACAAAAATTAATTTTAAGAAAATCCATGAGGTTAAAATAGGTTTTTAATCGTTTTTATGTTCCAGTTACTAAAATCTTCCATGGTTCTCCATCATTTGAAATATTACTGTGTTGCAAGCTTAACGCGTAGAACAAAAAATTCGCGGTATTTTCGCGATCAATTTCGCAACTAAATAACTATTTATGAAAATTACAAAAGATTACATGCACACACATCAAAAAATCGCTAATTAGTTACACAAATGGTATGGTCGTACATATTGATAAAAGTAAAAACACCTTATGAAAAACATAGGAAATTCTGACCGATACAGTCGTACTACTTAACATTTTTTTAAAATAAAATTTGTCGTGATTATTTATCAGGCTTTCTTCATCGAGTTATCACATAACAAAAAAAAAAGAAAAGAAAAGAAAATTCAGAACAGTAAAATATTTTAAGAGTTCCTGAACATGTTATAAAATTTCATTTATTTACATTATATTATAAATGAGTTCGATACGATGACGTTATGTCTGACTTACAGTGCTTAAATAATTCTAGAACCTTGGCTCTGTATTTCTATTTTCAGTTTCTTTTTTTTAAATAATACAATGTATTTTATTGCAACTATCAATTAACCCTAACATGGAAGTGTGAAAACAAATTATTTTTCTTTATTCCGTCATGCGTAAAGTCCGCTTAGGGTCTAGGAGATAACTGATTATGCAAGGTGAAGCCGTAGTGTTAGTGCTCTAACTTTTATAATTGAAAGACGATATAATTGATTAATTAAAGTCTCATTTAGAGAGAATTTGTGTGTTTAGATTTTCTAATTATCATAGAACTTACTGTGTTGGTAAAATTTTTACTGTGTTGCAAGTATAAAATTGGAATTGTTACTGAGAAAAGTTTACTGTGTCGGGAGCAACACAGTAAAACAGCTCATGGAGAACCCTGATCTTCAATCCACAGAAGCATTATTTGATATTCCTTGTACTTATGTTTGTATTATCTTCCTTAATTATTATATATATATATATATATATATATATATATATATATATATATATATATATATATATATATATATATATAAAGCACAATTTACAACAACTCTTAAACTAATATAACTGCCCTAAGTGAAGAAATATTAATATAGAAAGCACAAAGAAATTCACTTTTACATGGATACCCACTTCCGCCCCAGCCCGGGGTTGAACTCTCGACCTACGGAATCTGTCTCCTAGCAGTGCAAGAACAGCGCGTTAGACCGCTCGGCTATCTAGGCAAGTTTCAAAAACTTGCTTTCGATGCCGATGGAATTCTCACAACGCTGCCCTACACTACACGGTCATTGAGAATAGAAGTGAGATACAGTTATTTGGACATTAGTTTTTAGAGGATTGTTACCAATACATGTTGTGATTAAATTAATTCATTTATAAAGCACAATTTACAACAACTCTTAAACTAATATAACTGCCCTAAGTGAAGGAATATTAATATAGAAAGCACAAAGAAATTCACTTTTTCATGGATACCCACTTCCGCCCCAGCCCGGGGTTGAACTCTCGACCTACGGAATCTGTCTCCTAGCAGTGCAAGAACAGCGCGTTAGACCGCTCGGCTATCTAGGCAAGTTAAAAAACTTGCTTTCGATGCCGATGGAATTCTCAATTCTCTATATTCTTGCACTGCTAGGAGACAGATTCCGTAGGTCGAGAGTTCAACCCCGGGCTGGGGCGGAAGTGGGAATCCATGTAAAAGTGAATTTCTTTGTGCTTTCTATGTTAATATTTCTTCACTTAGGGCAGTTATATTAGTTTAAGAGTTGTTGTAAATTGTGCTTTATAAATGAATTAATTTAATCACAACATGTATTGGTAACAATCCTCTAAAAACTAATGTCCAAATAACTGTATCTCACTTCTATTCTCAATGACCGTGTAGTGTAGGGCAGCATTGTGAGAATTCCATCGGCATCGAAAGCAAGTTTTTTAACTTGCCTAGATAGCCGAGCGGTCTAACGCGCTGTTCTTGCACTGCTAGGAGACAGATTCCGTAGGTCGAGAGTTCAACCCCGGGCTGGGGCGGAAGTGGGTATCCATGTAAAAGTGAATTTCTTTGTGCTTTCTATATTAATATTTCTTCACTTAGGGCAGTTATATTAGTTTAAGAGTTGTTGTAAATTGTGCTTTATAAATGAATTAATTTAATCACAACATGTATTGGTAACAATCCTCTAAAAACTAATGTCCAAATAACTGTATCTCACTTCTATTCTCAATGACCGTGTAGTGTAGGGCAGCGTTGTGAGAATTCCATTGGCATCGAAAGCAAGTTTTTTAACTTGCCTAGATAGCCGAGCGGTCTAACGCGCTGTTCTTGCACTGCTAGGAGACAGATTCCGTAGGTCGAGAGTTCAACCCCGGGCTGGGGCGGAAGTGGGTATCCATGTAAAAGTGAATTTCTTTGTGCTTTCTATATTAATATTTCTTCACTTAGGGCAGTTATATTAGTTTAAGAGTTGTTGTAAATTGTGCTTTATAAATGAATTAATTTAATCACAACATGTATTGGTAACAATCCTCTAAAAACTAATGTCCAAATAACTGTATCTCACTTCTATTCTCAATGACCGTGTAGTGTAGGGCAGCATTGTGAGAATTCCATCGGCATCGAAAGCAAGTTTTTTAACTTGCCTAGATAGCCGAGCGGTCTAACGCGCTGTTCTTGCACTGCTAGGAGACAGATTCCGTAGGTCGAGAGTTCAACCCCGGGCTGGGGCGGAAGTGGGTATCCATGTAAAAGTGAATTTCTTTGTGCTTTCTATATATACAGTACCCGCATCGTTATTCTTTACAATTCTATCGTGTTCTATCGTGCGTGTATCCTATCGTATCGTGCGTGTATCCTATCGTATCGTGCGTGTATCCTATCGTATCGTGTTTTCCGTTTATCAGGTTTTGCGTTTTCTATCGTGTTTTCCGTTTATCGTGTTTTGCGTTTATCGTGTAGATCGTTTATCAGGTTCTATCGTGTATCGTGTTTTGCGTTTATCGTGTATATTCGGAAACCCTCGCTTTATATCTTTACTATGTAAAGAAACTACTGAGCTATTCCGAGTGTCTTTTTCGTTTTGTTAATAAAAATAAGATTAATTCTACCGAAAAAGAGAAAATAAAGATTTATCCCTTTCTTTTTCATCAATATAAGAAATATTAAAGCGTAGAAGGAAAATTAAATAATCGCGTATTTCATGAATGAATAAATTGATTTATTAATTAATAATTAATTAAATAAATAAAATAATTATATCATGGTAAAGCAGAGAGTAATTGTCAAAATTAAACAGTAACTCTATTTTTCGGAAATGAAATTATAAGTATATCGATCAACTGGTCTATTTCTTTAAAAAATAATTTATCGAATTGTATGATTTATTTTGTCAAAATTAAATACTATTAATATGATTTTCTCAAATTAATCGGAGTTACCGGATAAAGATTTTTGGTAAGCTACGATGTTCGCGTAGACAAAAAGCAAATAAATAAATAATAAGCATAATATTGAAATGTATCTTTTTTTCATGCAATATTCTGTTTTTTCTTGTTTATCGTCTGATAACGTTAGAAATATGTTTACGCGTCTGACCTGCATGTATGCACAATTATTTAAAGTCTTAAAGCTTGATGTTACAAATATAATATAACATAAGACAATGATCCAAATGATTTTAACAACGATTTTGGCCGTATACGTTCAAATTTTAAATTTATTTTTTAAAGCTAATTAAAAATTCCTTGACATATGTCGAAATTAATACAAGAAATCAAAATTATAAAATATAATCAATGAAAATATTCTACCCAATTTATCACACCATGGCTGTTACTATAAAATAGAAGATTTTCATTAATTTTATCTGGCATTAGTTAACATAAAAATTATATATACATGTACAGGGGAAAACATGAAGTTTTTTAACAGCTTACCTTTTCGGCGTGGAAATAAACTCGCAATATAATCCATCAGGATGCCAAAAATCAAAATAAATCGAAGACCTTTCCTTACAAGAAAACTGACACGTATGTGTAGCTCTCTAATTAGCACACTGTCTTCCTGTGCGGTCAACCACCCCCTCCCCCTTCTACCCCTAACTGACACCTCGGCCCGTGTGTGTGTGATCACCGTCAACATACCTGTACTGATTTCTCACCTGGGGTCAATTAGTAACCTCGAATACTACCTGGTTCTAATGAAACGCATCTACTTATTTTCGGAATTTTGTTCCTAACTTGTTTGAACAATTTTATCAAAGATTTAATTCATAATACATTAAATAATTGTACGATTTATGGATTAAAAAATTAAAATGTTAAATAAAAATTCAAACAAATCAATTTAATGAAATGAAGTCCCTAAACTCACTCCGTTGATTCTTTTTCATTCCGTACAATGTTTCCATTATGTTTATATAAATAAGTCTTTAAAAAACATAAAAAAAAATATACTGCACTTATGTTACGTGCACTTTCGGGTCATCGGGTTTTCTTCGTAAAACGGACAAAATTAATTCTAGGAAACAATTTCATTGACCGTAGAAACGGATGCAATAGTTCTAATATTCTAAACTATGAAAATTAGCTAGCAATATTTTTTAACGGTATCTTACTATAAAAATAAAACAAAAGGAGTCGCCTGATCCGCCTTGACCATGCAGGACTAATAAATACACCGAATCAATTTACAGTATTAATCGATTTTATTCCATACGTATATAACTTTATTTAAGAATTCAATATTATATTTGGCTATTTTGTTAGATCTTGTTTATCTAATTTTAAATTGGTTGCGGACTTTCAAAATACTGCCCTTCGAATATGCCTAATATGAGATTACCGGGTCGGTGTAAAATGATTTTTAAGGTTTAATAATTCATTTGCCGAACTAAACCTATCTTTCGTTATAATAAGAAACAGTACACACAGAGTTTAATAGCAATGATTTATAATTATTTAGTCGGAAAAGACGCATTTCACTCTTTTAATATTTGTTAATTAATTTTTCTGTTTTGTATTGTAAAGAAGAAAGTATTTAACCATTCAATGTTCGTTAATAAATACGAGGTTTTCAGTATCTGTAATGTAAAATGTCTACATGTACATAAGTCAGAGCTTAGCGGAAACTTACATGTGCAGTTGTAGCAGATTCATATTCTCATGACACAGTTTACATGTATTAATGCAGATCGCCATTATTTTAATAATTATTTAGATTTCTGTTCAGAAAATTTAATTTTCTTGAACTGTTTCGTTCTTGATAGATCTATCATGTTAAAATTATTAATTTTGTTAAAGCCGTTTTCTTTAAACCTTTCTTTCGGCCAGTCTTCTACTTGTATTACTTTCTAAGATATTAATATTTAATTGCGATTTTTGGATACATCGCAGATTGTAAGCTTTAGACATTAAATACAAATATTTAATTTATTGCGTAAATTTCTTCCGTGAAATAATTTGGTACTTGTAGATAAATTTATTAGATAGAAAACAAAAATGTATATTTTTCATAAATAAAAAATCTGTCTATAGAGTTTCAAAATTCACACACTTGAGAAGAAATTTAAAAAATAATACAGTCTTCATTTCATAAAAATCCATTTAATCACTGTCAATTTTTTATATATATATATATATATATAAATAAACACTTGTAAAATTAATACAGAGATCTCAGGTTCTTTTTATAATAATTAAATGTACTTTATAGTTTAGATTTGAAGCTCTGCGAGTATTTAAATTAAAATATAATTTAATTTAAATAATCTTTAATCTTTAAATTTAATTCAAAATAATCTTTTCGTCTTGTCAAAAAACTTTCCGCATTTTGAAAAGATCCTATCAGGTTTTGCGTTTATCCTATCGTGTAGATCGTTTATCAGGTCTATCGTGTTTTGCGTTTATCGTGTTTTGTGTGTATCGTGTTTTGCGTTTATCGTGTTTTGCGTTTATCCTATCGTGCGTGTATCCTGTCCTATCGTGCGTGTATCCTATCGTATCGTGCGTGTATCCTATCGTATCGTGCGTGTATCCTATCGTATCGTGTATCCTGTAAAGAATAACGATGCGGGTACTGTATATATATATATATATATATATATATATATATATATATATATATATATATATATATATATATATATATATATATATATATATATATATATATATATATATAAAGCGCTCTTTATTTAAGTTTATTTATTTACGAATATTTTTTTTATATTTCACATTTTTCCAATGCACATATGCACATATGCAATTTCATTATAAATATTGAAAGAAAACTCTTCTTCTGAATTTCAAATAATATTACCAAAATTTGACATTTTTACTTTTAAGCCTGGGGACTTTCAAGATAATATTTTCCTAAATGCTCTGTTGTAAAACTGAACAGTTACTCAGAATTTCAAACCATTACGGAATTAGGTTATAATAATAAACAATTATTTATTTTTAAGCCCCAAAGTCGAAGGCTCAAGTGATGTTTTCTGATCAAAGATTGTCCATTTTCTGTTATCATTGTCGCCATTGTCGTATTTTCATCTTCCAAAAAACTACTAGAACATTTTCAACCAAAATTGGCAAAGATTATCCTTTGCGTAAAGGAAAATAAGCTTTGCTCAAATAAAGCGTAGCACTTTCTTTGAAGGGGAGATAACGACGAATGGATGAAAAATGGATGGGTATTATTAAACAATAGACTAAGGAATTGGAAATTGTGTTCACTTTTTTTAACATTATATAAAGTAAGATTGTTTAAATAATGACACCTTGGTATGAAAATGGCCACAATGATTACGATCTTTTTTTTTTATTATTTATATAGAAATGTGAGGAAAACATCTTAAGATATCTACTTCTCAAATATCTACACAGAAAATAATGTTTACTTTGAAGACATGTAGGAAATGTCCTAAAAAGAATATGAAAGTCAATGATTAGTTATTTATATGGAAACATCGTTAGGTAGTAAGGTAGTGTATGTTTAAAAATGTTTAAAGCATGACCTCGATTAATTGGGAGAGTGTATAAGCAGTTACAAATGTATTACATGAAAGAACATAAAATGCATCTTTTACCAAGATCATCAAATCTATATAATTAGTCATATTAATTCTGAAGCATCCTCGGGTAAAATATATTTATATTTGTTCAAGAGGTTCCACAATGGAAGATCACACTTTTAGCTCAGGTGAGCGATGTGTCCATGATCATCTTGTAAAAAATGTCCGTAAAATTCCTTGTTTTCAATTTGTGATGTAATAAAACAATGATCGCACAAATTGATTTTACAGATGTTTTAAACGGTACAATAATTCTATAATTAGATAAATCCAATGGAAGGAATTCACCCTGATAATGAAATGTATCAAGAGAACCCACAAGAAGAAGACAAGATGCACTGCATTGTGTATGTTCTTGCCGCTGACGAAGCTGATTTTATGATGACGGACGTTAAGGAGCAACTGGAAGAAATAAAAAAAACATTCATACAAGGCAACATAAATACTCTCTCTCTCTCTCTCTCTCTCTCTCTCTCTCTCTCTCTCTCTCTCTCTCTCTCTCTCTCTCTCTCTCTCTCTCTCTCTCTCTTAAATTTTTACGGTTTTTTATTTAACATTGCATTTTTTTTAGCTTTTTGACAGGAAAATTTTTTGACAAGTTCGAGAATGCGAAATTAAAATTATTTAATGAAACGGCATGCTTACTAGGTTCTGAAAAATCTTTACATCGGACAAAAAGTAATTTCAAAAAATTGTTACATGATTAAAATAAGTTTTACATGATGAAACTCATTGTAAAGCTACTTTAGACATAACATACATGCGTTGCTCGTTACTGGTATAATATTAAGACTACGTTTACAATGTTTACGTTTTACATGGAAATACGGAATGCTTCCTCGCAAGTGTGAAATATAAGAATAATGAACTTACTGGATGAAGACATGTTGTTTCAAATTATGAATTTCTGATTATTGAATGTGTTTAAAGATAAGGTCCTCCAACACTCTGTTGGAATTTCCACGGGTATCAAGTCACCTGCGTGGCACAGTGGTTAGAATGTCTGCTTTAGAGTTGCGAAGTGAGGAGTGAATTCTAACGTCGCGGGTTTGAATACCGACGTGGAGAACGGTTCAGGCAGGGTTTTCCATCGTTTGAGATTTTACTGTGTTGCAGAGTTTACGCAAAGCACTTATATTTCGCGGTATTTTCGCGAACAAATTCGCAACTGAATCAAATGTATTATAATTACAAAATATTACAACCATACGTTTATTTAAAAATCGCTAATTCGTTAAATTGTACATACTGATTAAAGGGAAAAAACGTTCTGAAAAGCATAGGAAATTCTGACCAAAAGTCGAACTACGTAACATTTTTGAAAGTAGATTTGCCGTGTTTGTTTACCAGCTTTCTTGATCGAGTTACTGCATTACGAATAAAGGAACTTCAAAACAGTAAAATATTTTAAAGAGTTCTTTCAAAATGCTGAAATTTCAAAATTTTTGGCAATTTCTTTACATCAATTAATGACTTCGGTAAAATGTTATGTTTGACTTACAGTGCTTACAGAATTCTAGAGCCGTGACTCTATAGGAAAGACATATTTAAATATTTTTCATAAATAGTACAATGTATTTTATTGCAACTACCAATTAACCGGTACATCGAATTGTGAAAACAGTTTAGGCCTATTTGTCTTTGTTCCGTCATGCGTAAAGTCCGGCGAGGGTATAAGAGATGATTGATTACTCAAGGTGAAGCCCTAGTAATTAAGTGTTATATTATTTTGAACTGAAAGACGGTAGAATTGTGTGATTAACGTTTCAGTTAGAGAGAATTTGTGAGTTTAGATTTTCTAATTATCACGACCCTTACTGTGTCGGCAATATTTTTACTGTGTCGCATGCTTGAAATTTGAATCGTTACTGTCGGAGAAAATTTTACTGTGTGGGGAGCAAAACAGTAAAACAGCTCATGGAGAACCCTGGTTCTGGGATGAGACCGTATTAACCGAGTTCCCGTGTAATTCTCTGAGATTTTTTTTTATTCTAATAAATCATCATTTTAAAATATACATAAATTATTTGTGAGCTTTAGATGTTTTATAAAAAAAGATTTGTTTTATTTTCATTTTGGTAGTAATTATTGTGAAAAGTTTCCGAATGGCGTCGATTAAATGTTCATATCGTTATTAATTAAAATGTTATAAAACTGAATACGATGTGCTTTATTTACATAGATATATGTATTTCATTTATTCATGTATACATGTATATATTTTTTTTAATTTTTGACTACAACAAGATATATTTATTCAAGATTTTTTTCAAAAAGAATAAAATAAAGAAAGTATGGATATAATTCCAGACAGATCTTTCATGCATATATTGAATTTTTATCCAAAATTTTTACTAACTGTTAATTGCATGAAAAAAAATAATAACCTTGCTATTACAATCTCGGACTAAATTTAAATTTAAATCTGCATATAAAATATACGAATTGTCTTTTTATTTTCTGATTATTGAAAAGTTGTTTTCTCCTTGCAACTCATAAGTAAATATAATGGGTCGAGTTGTCTCTGCAATGGGGGTGGAGCTGTTTCGAATGGGGCGAGTTTAATAGAGTTGGGGGCGACTTGTTTTGGGGCGAGTTGTCCCGATTCCCCGAAAATTACGTGTATTTTATTTGTTTAAAATGGGATTCCTTATCTCCTACCTCATTAAAAAAAACCAAAGTGTGCTTGATACAAAAATTACGTAAATTTAGTTTATTTGTGATGAAATTGTAAATAAATGTGTGAACTTGTGTGAATATATATCAATCAAAAGAGTACTTGTGCAGAGAAGTTGCATAAGTTATTATTATATAAACTACGAGGGGTGTTAGAAAAGTTCGCGGACAAGTTCAATTGTGAGCGTGCTATTTCCACGAAACCGGTCAAACTTTCCAGATAGAATCTTTACCTTTTTTCCAATAAATATACAAGAAATTTTTGCTCTACGGTGATTATTAAAAAATATACAGCTTTTTTATTTTGATAAAACTTGCCTCACGGAGCATGCTACATTTTGGCCCTTTTACACCACAAAGACTCTTTATTAAAATTAAAAATTGCACAATTTTAGCGCAAAGAGATTTATGATATTTTACCTGCGGCTAAAGTATTCATGAAACGTCACTGGGAGAAATTTTGAACTAAATTGGAAAGTATATGACTGTTTTATAGCCGTTTGTATATGGTCATTGCGTAAAAACACAGCCAAAAATCGGAACGTTATTGAGCGTCATGGAGCACTGCACTACGTAAAAATGATGTATGCAGACTAGAAAATGTCTAAAAAAAAGATAAAAATGTTCAAGATGCTGCCGGGAATTTCCTAAACCTACAAAGGAGAAGTTTTCAAATGGTTGTAGCTTCATAAGGATGGAAGGATTGACATTTTGAAAGATTAACTCCAGTGATACTTTAGTACCCCCGTATCGCATGGACGTTGCGTTGCGCCTTTATGGTTTTGCATAGTTTCCACACGTGATCAATTAACTAATTAACTGCAATAACTTTTTTAAGATCTCACTTATATCCGAATCAGTAGAAAAGACATTGTAGAAGAAAAGTAACATGTCTTGGTATAGATATTCAATTTTAAAGTAGAAAAAAGATTTTAAAAAATCTAAAGATTTATAGAACTGCAACAAAGGTTAACGTGTTGAAATCATTTTGTTACGTCGCCTTACGTCAAGTGATTGCTCCGTGAATCCCGTAACCTCATAGTAAAATCGTTGTAAGTTTTCAAGATTTTATTATATGGACCTGATTTTTTACATACCAATAAACAAAGTGTAGGAATTTATTCAGACATAGGTCATACTTCACAGTACACAATAGATTTTCCGTAATTCAATGTGTTCGCGAACTTTTCTAACGACCCTCGTATATATTATTTTAAAGAAAATTAATCATCTTACAGTTAATTGTTAATTTTCGAACGGAAAATACAAATCTGAAGTGTAAATGATATCAAGAACATTTTTAATGTGAAACATTTCTTAACAGTGCATCAATATATTTAAAATACATATATGTTGCTTTCTTTGAACTGGGACTAGTTGCCTTGGTTTAATGACGACGAATTGTCTCAAACTCTGAGGTTCTGAATAAGCGGAGAGTTTTCTTATATGGGGTTAGTTGTCTTAATGGGAGTAAAACTGAAAAGGGGCGACTTTTGTTGGGGTAAGCTGTCCAGCATTATATAGAAATGCTATTATACACAATGTATGTATGTGGTCTACAAATAACGAACAACGTATGCTTATTTTTTATAAGTATTATGCTAGTACAATATAAGAACACTCTAAAGGCAAAAAAGAGATAAAAGGTCTTAATATTTAGGCATACATGTATTACTCAAGTTCAGCTCTCACATTTTAGTTTAGATTTGTCTCGCATTCATTTGGAATTGTTATTCATTATAGAGTTGGTGTAACTTGCCATATACATGCTGTACATATTGTACAATTTTTATCGTTTTGTAGATATTCCCCAGGTTATTCTTCTGACAAAAATAGACCGTCTTGGAATTGATATCACCCAGTTATTCAGAGACAGAAGAGTCAAAAAGCGTTGCGAGGAAGCTGCAGAGCTGTTTAACTTCAACGTTAACGATGTTTTCCCTCAGTCAAGCTACAGTGACGAAGTTATTCCATGTGAATACAAGGATATGGTTACTCTGTTTAACCTCAGACAATAATGGAGAGAACCAACGATCGCATTTTTCAATCTTGAACTTATAATATGATAAACAATGAAAAATATGTTTTATAGGTGTCCTAAAATAACTATTTCAACCATAGGGAAAATGAAGAACAGACGTTTAGAATTCAAAGATATAATGAACTATTGTTGATAAATATACCATATCTTTCAACGCTTTATAGGGGAGTGGGGTCTTTTTACGTTTTTCATCATGTTAGAAAATCACGTATCGTCCTTTCATAAATTAGTGGAATACATCTCAACACAGAATATTTTGGAAAAACGGAGGAAAAACATTTTTTTAGGTCACCTGAGTAAACTCAGGTGACCTATTGCTATCCGTTTTCGTCCGTCGTCGTGCGTCGTGCGTCGTTCGTCGTGCGTTAACATTTGAACATTTTCAGCTTCTTCTCTGAAACCACTGAACCAATTTCAACCAATTTTAGCATATAGCATCTATTGGTGAAGGGGAACAAAAATTGTGAATTTCATTGTCCCTGCCCCCCTGGGGCCTGGGGGGTGGGGCCAAAACCACTAAAATTAGTGCAATCTTTGAAAATTTTCTTCTTAACTCCTGTACATCAAGCAGTCAAAGTGTTTGCATGATTGTAATCAACATTTAGTCCTCTATCAAAATTGTGAAATTCATGGCCCTGGGGTCAGGGGTTCTAGTGCTAGGGCGGGGCTAAATAAGTATATAGTGAAAATGCATTATTTCTTTTAAAATCTTCTTCTCTACTCCTGGGTGTTAAATAAACCAACTAAGTACATAGTTATGATGAGCAAGAATGCCTCTACCAAAATTGTGAATTTTATGGCCCCAGGGTTAGGGGTTCTTATGTTAGGGCGGGACTCTATTGATTATATAAAGTGAAAACACATGATTTCTTTGAAAATCTTCTTCTCTGCCCCTGGGTATTAAATATACTAACTAAGTACATAGTTATGATGAGCAAGAGAGCCTTTACCATAATTGTGAATTCTATGGCCCCAGGGTCAAGGGTTCTGTTGTTGGGGGGGGGGTCTCTATTGATTATATAGTGAAAATACATGAATTCTTTGAAAATCTTCTACTCTTCTCCTAAGTATAAAATAAACTAACTATTTGCATAGTTATGATGAGCAAGAGTGCTTCAACCATAATTGTGAATTTTATGGCCCCAGTGTCAAGGGTTCTTGTGTTAGGAAGGGTGGAGGGGCTCTATTGATTATATAGTGAAAATGCATTAATTCTTTGAAAATCTTCTTCTCTGCCCCTAGGTATTAAATAAACTAACTAAGTGCATAGTTATGATAAGCAAGAGTGCCTCAACCAAAATTGTTAATTTTATGGCCCCAGGGTCTGGGGTTCTGGTGTTAGGGTGGGGCTCTATAGATTATATAGTAAAAATACATGAATTCTTTGAAAATCTTCTTCTCTGGTCCAAGGTATAAAATAAACTAACAAATTGCATAGTTATGATGAGCAAGAGTGCTTCAACCATAATTGTAAATTTTATGGCCCCAGTGTCAAGGGTTCTTGTGTTAGGGAGGGGGAAGGGCTCAATTGATTATATAGTGAAAATGCATTAATTCTTTGAAAATCTTTTTCTCTGCCCCTAGGTATTAAATAAACTAACTAAGTGCATAGTTATAATAAGCAAGAGTGCCTCAACCAAAATTGTGAATTCTATGGCCCCAGGGTCTGGGGTTCTGGTGTTAGTGTGGGGCTCTATAGATTATATAGTGAAAATACATTAATTCTTTGAAAATCTTCTTCTCTGCCCCTAAGTATTAAATAAACTAACTAAGTGCATAGTTATGATGAGCAAGAGTGCTTCAACCATAATTGTGAATTTTATGGCCCCAGTGTCAAGGGTTCTTGTGTTAGGGAGGGGGGGCTCTATTGATTATATAGTGAAAATGCATTAATTCTTTGAAAATCTTCTTCTCTGCCCCTAGGTATTAAATAAACTAACTAAGTGCATAGTTATAATAAGCAAGAGTGCCTCAACCAAAATTGTGAATTTTATATCCCCAGGGTCTGGGGTTCTGGTGTTAGGGTGGGGCTCTATAGATTATATAGTAAAAATACATGAATTCTTTGAAAATCTACTACTCTGCTCCAAGGTATAAAATAAACTAACTAATTGCATAGTTATGATGAGCAAGAGTGCTTCAACCATAATTGTTAATTTTATAGCCCCAGTGTCAAGGGTTCTTGTGTTAGGGAGGGGGGGGGCTCAATTGATTACATAGTGAAAATGCATTAATTCTTTGAAAATCTTCTTCTCTGCCCCTAGGTATTAAATAAACGTACTAAGTGCATAGTTATAATAAGCAAGAGTGCCTCAACCAAAATTGTGGATTTTATGGCCCCAGGGTCTGGGGTTCTGGTGTTGGGGGGGGGGGGACTCTATTGATTATATATTGAAAATACATGAATTCTTTGAAAATCTTCTTCTCTGCTCCTGGGTATTAAATAAACTAACTAAGTACATAGTTATGATGAGCACAAATGCCTCTTTTAAAACTATGAATTTTATGGCCCTAGGGTCAGGGGTTCTGGTGTTAGGGGGGGCGGGGCTCTATTGATTATATAGTGAAATTACATTAAATATTTCAAAATTTTCTTCTCTGTCTCTGGGTATAAAGCAGATGAACTACCTTTATAGTTATAATCAGCAAGGGCCATAATCTTGCAGACTTGTGAATTTCAAGGCCCCAGGGTCAGGGGTGTTGTGGGGGCTCTACTTATATACTGAAAATGAATTTATTGTTTGAAATCTGCTCTTTTGTATTTATAAACCATTTATTTATTGATATTAAGGGTGCCTTTTTAAAATTTGTGCAATGTGTGGACCTTAAGGGTCAGGGGTTTAGGTCACAGTGTTAGGGGCACTACTGATTAGTTGGAATGCATTTTTGCTCCCCTACCCTGCGTATTCAGTAACCAAGCTAAGCAACTGCTAAGTGTATTGTTATGATGATCAATGGTGCCTCTTTCAAAATTGTGAATGTCATAAACCATCTGGCTTAAAACATTAATCAAATTCAATAATTGGAAAGTTGTTGCATAATGCTCAGGTGACCTATAAGGCCCGTGGGCCTCTTGTTTTCTTTTTGAGATTTATCTTTGTTACGGCGTTAAGAAAGTAGAAAGGGCAGAAGTGAGTTAATGAAAATACAAAAATATTCTATCACGTCATTTGACATTCTTTCTGTTCAATGCACTTGTTTGCACACTTGAAAACTAAATATTTTTATGTTTTGACATACAGAACACGATAACGACAGAAAAAAGGAGAACTAGTATTTGTTATTTATATTTGATGCATGACGTCGTAAGTCGTAAAAAAAAGTATAAAATAAGGATTTTTTTTAATATCTTTGAGTAAGGCCCGACATTTGAATACTGTTTGTACTGATCAGGATTTCCTGTTAATTTTGATTTTGTGAATACTGTAAGTTAATTAAGTAGGAATAATGAATCAATAAATAATCAGAATTTTTATTTTAGTTTAACAACTTGCTAAATAATGTTCCCCAGACGAAGTTTGGAAGCAGTTTGTTTTTACTTTCATTTTTTCTATTTTTTTCTAATTTTCTTTTTAGGTCACCTGAGTAACTCAGGTGACCTATTGCTATCCGTTTTCGTCCGTCGTTGTCCGTCGTGTGTCGTGTGTTAACATTTGAACATTTTCAGTTTCTTCTCTGAAACCACTGAACCAATTTCAACCAAATTTGGTATACAGCATCTATGGGTAGAGGGGAACAAAATTGTGAATGGTCATGGTCCCTCCCCCCTCCCGGGGGCCTGAAGGGTGGGGCCAAAACCACTAAAAGTAATGAAATCTTTTAAACTCTTCTTCTTTACTCCTGGACATCAAGCAGGCAAAATATTGGCATGAATGTAATGAACATTGAGTCCTCTACCAAAATTGTGAAATTCATGGCCCCAGGGTCAGGGGTTCTAGGGGGGGGGGCTCTATAGATTATATAGTGAAAATTTATTATTTCTTTGAAAATCTTCTTCTCTGGTCCTGGGTATTAAATACACTAAGCACATAGTTATGATGAGCAAGAGTACCTCTTTCAGATTTGTGAATTTCATGGCCCCATGGTCAGGGGTTCTGGTGTTGAGGCGGGGCTCTATAGATTAAACAGTAAAAATGCATAATTTCGTTGAAAATCTTCTTCTCTGCTCCTGGGTATTAGATTACCTAACTAAGCACATTGTTATGATAAGCAAGAGTGCCTCTTCCAAAATTGTGAATTTTATGGCCCCAGGGTCAGTGGTTCTTAAGTAAAGTCGAGGTTCTATTGATTATATAGTAAAAATACATTTATTCTTTGTAAATATTTTTCTTTGCTTCTGTGTTTTAAACCAATGATCCAAGTATATAATGTATATTTATGATAAAGAAATGTGCATCTAGCAAAGTGGTTTTTAATTCCCCCAGGGTCAAAGAGGGGGGGGGGGGTACATAGCCTGAAAATAAATTAATGCTTTGAAATCGGCTCTTTGGTATTAATCAACCATTTTATGATAAAATTTACAAAATTTTGAAAATATATGGCCCTTGGTTAGTAGTTCCTTTGGGGTGAGGTGCACAACTGGTTATAAAGTCAGGATTCTACATGAGCTGTTTTACTGTGTTGCTCCCGACACAGTAAAATTTTCTCCGACACAGTAACAATTCAAATTTCATGCATGCGACACAGTAAAAATTCTGCCGACACAGTAAGAGTTGTGATAATTAGAAAATCTAAACACACAAATTCTGTCTAACTGAAACTTTAATCAAACAATTCTACCGTTTTTCAATTCAATAATTACTAATTAAGGCTTCACCTTGAGTAGTCAATCAATTATCTCGTAGACCCTCGCCGGACTTTTACGCATGACGGAACAAAGACAAATAAATTGTTTTCACAACTCAATGTATCGGTTAATTGGTAGCTGCAATAAAATACCTTGTATTGCTTATGAAAAATATTTAAATATGTCTTTCC